GTGGAAGCTGGATTTAAGGCCCTCCCTTCTCCTTCTGGGAGCAAACAATAATTCTGGGGAAAGGGTATAATTGGAGAAACTGGTCTGACGCCTTCTGTTTATGAGTTTTCCAAATTCATTTCCACAAAGCAAACTCAACAGGTGGGAAGCTAAGCAAGATCGGCTCGGGCTCAGGTTTGGATGGGGGGGGGCGGGCGGCCATAAAATACCAAGGCTGTAGGCTAGGCTAGGAAGTCAAACAAGGTCCTGAAAGACGGCAGCGGAAGCTCCTCTTGAACTGTGGCCAAACAGAGGTGGTCCTCGACTTACGACCATAATTTGAGCCCCAGATTTCCGTTGCTAAGCAAGACAGCTGTTCAGCGAATTTTTGCTCCATTGTACGACCTAGCGTGCCATCGTGTTTAAGGAATCCCTGCAGTCGTCAAGTTAGTCACACCATGGTTAAGTGAATCAAAAGGTCACAAAAAAGGGATCATATGAACCTGGGACACTGCAACCATCGTACATACAGATAGTCCTCGACTTACGACGGTTCCCTTAGCGACCGTTTGAAGTTACAACGGTGCTGAACAAAAGTCACTCATAGCCGTTTTTCACGTTTACGACTGTTGTAGCATCCCAATCAAAATTCAGACGCTTGGGAACGGACTCGCATTTACGATAGTCACTGTGTCCATTTTTGCGACCTTCGGACCAGCCGAGTCGACGAGGAAAACCAGATTTGCTTAAAAAAAAACCCCGTTACTAATGTGACAGCTGCGGAAATTCACTTAACAACTGCGGCAATTAAGGCCGTAACACGGAGCCAAATTCACTTAGCAAACGCCTCACTTTGCAACACAAATTGGGGCTCCATCATGGTCGTAAGGCGAGGACCTACTTGTACACGCCGGTTGCCAAGCGCCCAAATTTTTATCGCGGGACTCCAGGGATGCTGCAAGGGTTGTTGGAAAAAATCGCTTTTTTTCCAGTGCCGTCGCAACTTCAGACAGTCACTAAACGAATCAGAAGACATCAGGAGTTGAGCAGGATTCTTGGAGTTAAAAGTGGAAAAGTGTGGAGTCTCTTTCAAAGAGACGGCGGATCACCAAAAAAACAAAAAACGGAAATGCGACTTTGGTTGCCGGGAGCCTCTTTCGAACGATCAATCCTTGCGGTGACGAACGGCTGAACTTTTCTTCTCCTTTTCTCACGGAGGGGAAAGAAACGGCGACGAGGCCAAGATAAATCTCACGTGTCCTTAGTTGCTCCAGAAAAAGGAAAAGAAAAAAAAAAAGAGAGAGAGAGTTTCTTTATTTGGCAAACAAGCTCCCCATTTTTAGCCGCTCTTGGACGGCCTTCAACATTTCTCGTTTCTTCCCACATGGATTCACCAGAACAGCCGAGAGTCGTCTGCGTAGGGCTGGAAACAGAGAGGTTGGAAAGCAACCAACTCCCTTTTGTTTATATATATATATGTATTCCTCTTTAGCCAGGGTTCTTCCTACGTAAACCAAGATTTTTAGTTCAGTGAAATCCCAATCCACTAGTTTCTAGGCTTTTTTTCAGGCAGCCAGCAAGCACCCTGCTGCCCATTGGGAGACTAAGGAGACTAAGATAGATCTATTTCGGACTTATTAGTCCTCATCAGTTAGCCACACCCTCATCTCATGTATCCTCCCTGTAAAGGTACAGTATTTGTTTTTTCTTTTCTTTTCGTAGGGCTTTATGTGTATTTCTCTTTAGCCAGGTTCTTCCTACGTTAACCAAGATTTTTTATGCAGCCCTAGTTCAGTGAAATCACAATCCTCTAGTTTCTAGGCTTTTTTCATATATATGAATATATATATATATATACACTGCTCAAAAAAATAAAGGGAACACAAGCAGAAGACATCCGAGATCTGAATGAATGAAATAGCCTTATTAAATACTTTGTTGTTTGTTATATACAGTAGTTTTGTGTTCCCTTTAGTTGTTTGAGCAGTGTTTAAACTGTATGTGTGTGTGTGTGTGTGTGTGTGTATATATATAATATATACACACACACATCACACACACACACACACACACAGTTTAAACACTGGCTAGAAGAAAAACATATATATATATATATATAATATATATATATATATATAATATTAGTATATTATATGATATAATATATATGTTTTTCTTCTAGCCAGGTTTTCCCTACGTAGCCAAGGTTTTTTTGTTAGCCTCCAGCTCAGTAGAATATGGGTAGAATAAGATATGGGTGTGGCCTACTGATGACAGCTAACGAGCTAGAAATGGATCTATTTAGGTCTCCCACCTAGCAGTTAGAGCTTGCTAGGTGTTAGAAAGGAAAAAAGCCCAGAACCGAGTAGATGTGATTCTACTGAGCTGGAGCTACAAAAAAACCTTGGCTACGTAGGGAAAACCTGGCTAGAAGAAAAACACACATAAACCCTACGAAGAAGGAAGAAATATATATATATATATATTATATAATATATATATATATATATATATAATATATATATATATATATATATATATATATATTATATACACACACACACACACACACACACACACATACACATACAGTTTATACACTGTATGTATATTATACAGTATATATATATATGCATAGTTAATATTTCGGGTTTCTTCCCGTGTAATTGTGGATATATCCCTAAAGGGTAGAGAAGGTCTGTTTCGGCAGAATCCCATCTGCCATCATCATCATCATATTATATATATATAACAAACTATTTTAAAATACGAGTTCCATGTATATTATAAAAAAAAGGGAAAGTTTAATACTCTGACGATGTCAGCAGATGGCTGACGAAAGCTTAGTAAAATAAAATTTTAATTCTTTTAAAATTTTAAAATCTTAAGTTCTGGAGTTCGCAGTATGTCTGCTTTTTTTTACCCATATATCTCTCTCTTTCTCTCTGCAAACAATGACAATATTTCTGAGCGATATACGGTATTCCTGAATCCTCCAATGCTCTTTTGGTCATGGTAGGAACTTTCCGCTGAGTTTTTCGGTACCCGCCGTCTTTGCATTGCGTTTCACTCTCCGCTGAAGATGGGTGGAGAATCTTAAAAAGCTGTTCTGACAGATGGTTTTTATTAGAGGCCGCTGATGGAGCTCTTATCTACTGTCGTTTGAGTTAAACCCTGAAACCTGGATTAATCTGTCTCTGGCCGTTCGGTTACTCCCGATCTCCATCTACTGGCTCCTAAACGGATTCATCACACCTGAACATTTTGGGATGGAGAAGAAGAAAATCGCAATTTATTGGATTGCTCCTCTCTCTCTTTCTCCGTCATCCAGCAAGCTTTAAATACCGATATAAAGGGGAATATTTGTAGCTCCGGGTTGACATGAGGGTTGCTATGGTGCTCTCTGAGCTCGGTGGTTTTCTTGCAGATGTTTCATGACCCTGTTAGGTAACATTATCAGTGCTAGAAGGGGGGAGGAGGAGGAGGAAGAAGAGAAGAAGGATTGTGGGGGTCCTTGGTGCTCTCTGAGTTTGGTGGTTTTTCATGCAGACGTTTCATGACCCAAAGTAGGTAACATCATCAGTGCTAGAAGGGAGTGGGACTGGGAGGACTGTGGGGGTCCTTGATGATCTTTGAGCTTGATGGTTTTCTTGAAGACCTTTCATGACCCAACTAGGTAGCATCGTCAGTATTAGTGGGGTAGAATGCTAATAAGCAACAAACCCCACACTCACTAGCATTGATGATATTATCTAGTTGGTAATGAAATGTCTGCAAGAAACAACCAAGCTCAGAGAGCGCCAAGGACCCCACAGTCCTCCTCCTCCTCCTCCTCCTCCTCCTCTTCCTCTTCCTCTTCCCCCTCCTCTTCCTCCTCCTCCTCCTCTTCCTCTCTTACTTTCCTCCTCCTCTTCCTCCTCCTCCTCCTCTTCCTCCTCTTCCTCCTCCTCCTCCTCTTCCTCTTCCTCCTCCTCCTTCTCCTCTTCCTCCTCCTTCCTCCTCTTCCTCCTCCTCCTCCTCTTCCGCCGCCGCGGCCTCCCTTCTAGCACTGATGAGTCCCTGAATGAAGAATGAAATGTTTGCAAAAAATAACAACAAACACATACCAAGGGCCGAAAGCACCAAAGAGCCCACTATCACCCCCCTCTCCTCCTCTCCTCCTCCTCTCAACCAAACTCCCTTCTATCACTGATGAAGTTACCTAGTTGGGTAATGAAACGTCTGCAAGGAAACCACCAAGCTCAGAGATCATCAAGGAACCCACAGTCTTCCTCTTTCCTCTCCTCCTCCTCCTCCTTCTTCTAGCACTGATGATGTTATATAGATGAAGAATGAAATGTTTGCAAAAAACAACAACAACACATACCAAGGTCCGAAAGCACCAAAGAGCCCACTATCACCCTCCTCTCTCTCCTCCTCCTCCTCCTCCTCCTCTCCTCCTCCTCTCCTCCTCCTCCTCCTCCTCCTCCTCCTCAACCAAAACTCCCTTCTAGCACTGATGAAGTTACCTAGTTGGGTAAGTAATGAAACATCTGCAAGGAAACCACCAAGCTCAGAGATCATCAAGGACCCCACAGTCTTCCTCTTCCTCCTCCTCCTCCTCCTCTCCTCCCTTCTAGCACTGATGATGTTACCTAGATGAAGAATGAAATGTTTGCAAAAAAACAACAACAACACAACCAAGGTCCGAAAGCACCGAAGAGCCCACTATCACCCTCTTCCTCCTCCTCCCTCCCTCCCCTCCCTCTCTCTCTCTCTAAACCCACTCTCTTCTAGCACTGATGATGTTACCTAGTTGGGTCATGAAACGCCTGCAAGGAAACCACCAAGCTCAGAGAGCACCGAGTACCCCCGGTCAAGCTTTAAATACTGTAACCCTTTCCAAGCAGAATGAATTCTTCCTCCGCTGTTTCTTGATCTGAAAAAATAATAATAATCCACGAACAGTTTGCTCATTGATGGATAGCCGACCAAATGTCTGACTTTTTCCACTCCTCTTTTTTGCTCTTCTGTTTTTCCAGGGATGCTGTCCACTGGCGAGCACACCTTTCCGTTCCGTTTTTTGCTGCCAGGTACTTGGGATTTTTTCTTCCTGTTCTCTGGTACAGGTTTGTGATTATACTGGAACTCCACACTTCTCACTTTTAACTCTCCGCATGCTCTTGGATCTCTGATTTGGAGCGGCGCGGTGGCCTAGAGGCGGAGCTCTCGCCTCACAATCGGGAGGACTGTGAGTTCGATCCTAGGTAGAAGGCGGATATTTCTCTCTCTCTCTGGGCACAATGAGAAATATATCTGCCGAACAAAACTCCGCAACTGGCGTCAGGAAGGGCATTCGGCCAGTAAAACACTCTGATAGCTCCATTCAATTGCCCAGACTCCACCCCACAAGGGATTATGGGGTTGTTAAACGATGATGATGGTGATGATGATGCGCTTTGATCTCTGATCGATTGGGGTGGTAAACATTTAAATGCTGGCTACGGTTTTCTCTCCCTAACCCTAACCAGGGGAAATGGCGGTGACTGGCTGCTCATATGTTTAAATATTTTCTAGAAGGGCTTATTTTTGGGATAGGGTTTATTTTTGGGGAGGGCTTATTATCCGGGGGGGGGATTTTGGGGGGAGGGTTTATTTTGGGGGGGGCTTATTATCTGGGGAGGGCTTATTTTCAGGGGAGGGTTTATTTTCAGGGGAGGGTTTATTTTCGGGGGTATTTTCAGGGGAGGGTTTATTTTCAGGGGAGGGTTTTTATTTTCAGGGGAGGGTTTATTTTCAGGGGGAGGGTTTTATTTTTTTTTTTTTTTTTTTTTTTTTTTTTTTTTTTATTTTCAGGGGAGGGTTTATTTTCAGGGGAGGGTTTATTTTCAGGGGGGTTTATTTTTGGGGGGGTTTATTTTCAGGGGAGGGTTTATTTTCGGGGATATTTTCAGGGGAGGGGTTTATTTTCGGGGTTTATTTTCAGGGGAGGGTTTATTTTCGGGGAGGGTTATTTTGGGTATTTTCAGGGGAGGGTTTATTTTCGGGGTTTATTTTCAGGGAGGGTTTATTTTCAGGGGAGGGTTTATTTTCGGGGGGATATTTTCAGGGGAGGGTTTAATTTCGGGGTTTATTTTCAGGGGGGGTTTATTTTCAGGGGAGGGTTTATTTTGGGGGGGCTATTTTCAGGGGAGGGTTTATTTTCGGGGGGGTATTTTCAGGGGAGGGTTTATTTTCGGGGTTTATTTTCAGGGGAGGGTTTATTTTCAGGGGAGGGTTTATTTTGGGGGGGGTATTTTCAGGGGAGGGTTTATTTTTTGGGGGGTATTTTCAGGGAGGCCTTATTATCCAGGGAGGGCTTATTATTCGGGGAGGGCTTATTTTCGGGGAAACACGGTATATTCTTTTTTTCTTGTCTTCCTGGGAAACCCAGCCTCGGCCCCCACCTCCTTCGAAGGTCCTTTTGGAAAGGTGATGCACCAGGTGAAAGCTGTTATCGAGACCCCACGGTTTTCCAAGGACCACAAGTGCCACAAGGTCTTCTACGTTCTCTGTCCGCTGAATCTGAACGATATCCCAGATATTGAGGCAAGTTGGGGACGGGAGGTTGCTGACCCCCCAAACGCTAACCCACTTTGGTTCTTTCTTTTTTTCCCTCCCCCCCACCAAAAACATTCTTTTTTTATTGATACTTTTTTTTTTGATAATGTTGTGGTCACCCTGGAGTGGGGTGGGAATGGAGATTTTGCAGTATCCTTCCCCTGGAGTGGGGAGGGAATGGGGATTTTGCAATATCCTTCCCCTGGAGTGGGGTGGGAATGGAGATTTTGCAGTATCCTTCCCTGGAGTGGGGAGGGAATGGGGATTTTGCAGTATCCTTCCCCTGGAGTGGGGTGGGAATGGGGATTTTGGCAGTATCCTTCCCCTGGATTGGGGAGGGAATGGAGATTTTACAATATCCTTCCCCTGTCATGCCCACCAACCCACGCCCACCAAGCCACGCCCACAGAACCGGTAGTAACCCACCACTGATCAGTAGTATTGGCTGTGGTCCCCACCCAAAGCAGAAATTCTTCTTCTCCTTGGTTGGGAGATTACAGGAACTGTGTCACCAACACGCGAGGAGTTTCTTCAGCTGATGCCCACTCAGCTGACCCAGCCGTCTTCTTTCTGTTTCACCCCCTGCAGCAATGCAACACCAACTCCATCACCAAGAAGTTCAGCTACAAGCTTGTGAAAACGGGAAACGTGGTTTTAACGGCCACCACCGATCTCAAGGGTTACACCGTCGGGCAGGTCATCCAGTTGCGAACGGACATCGAGAACAAATCTGGCCGGGACACCAGCACCATTGTGGCAAGCCTCATCCAGGTAACCGCGTCTCTTGAAGATGGCATTGGGGTGCCAAGTTGGGTTGGTTTGTGGTCTTGAGGTATTTGGCCCTGTGTCTTTCCCTCTCGGCTTCCTCCATGAGTTATTCATTATATATATATATATGAACATTGAGATGGATGGATGGAATGAATGAATGGAAGGAAGGGTGGAAGGAAGGAAAGGTGGAAGGAAAGATGGAAGGCTGGAAGGAAGGAAGAAAGGAATGGTAGATGGAAGGAAGGGAGGGAGGGAAGGATGAATGGAAGGAAGGAAGAGTAGATGGAGGGGAGGGAGGGAAGGAAGGGTGGAAGGAAGGAAGGGTGGAAGGAAAGACAGAAGGCTGGAAGGAAGGAAGAAAGGAATGGTAGATGGAAGGGAGGGAGGGAGGGAAGGATGAATGGAAGGAAGGGTGGAAGAAAGGGTGGAAGGAAAGAAGGGTGGAAGGAAGGATGAATGAAAGGAAGGAAGGAAGGAAGGGTGGAAAGAAAGATGGAAGGAAGAAAGGGTGGAAGGGAGGGAGGGAAGGATGGAAGGAAGGGTGGAAGGAAGGAAGGAAGGGTAGATGGAAGGAAAGGAGGGAAGGAAGGAAGTATGGAAGGAAGGGTGGAAGGAAGGAAAGGAAGGAAGGAAGGAAGGAAGGAAGGAAGGAAGGAAGGAAGGAAGGAAGGAAGGAAGGAAAGAAGGAAGGATAGCTGGCTGGGTGGATGGATGGCATGGGATTTTATCATAAAACCATGAAGGCTGAGGGACAATGTCTGATCCTCCAGCATCTCCCGAGTTTCCTGGAGCTGAATTAGCTCACTCTGCAATCCCCTAAATAAGCCACTACCCCAAACTTGTGTTAAACAAATTCCCCAGGTTAATTCTTCATCACAACTTTCTTTGGCCTGCCTGGAAATCTCCATTGCTTCAACTTCCCTGAAGTCGCCTCTTATGAGACTTCTCCTGGTCCACCCTCGATCTTCGACCTCTTGATCCCACGGTCCTTTTCATTTGCCTCTTTCGGAGAAGTTCCTCCGACTTGTTAGGATCTGGAGATTAACTTACCTGTCAATCAATTATTTTCTTCTCCCCTTGACCTCTCTCTCTCTCTCTCCCTCCCTCCCCATTTCCCGTCTGCCAGAAAGTTGCCTATAAATCCAGGCGGTGGATTTACGACTTGAGGAGCATAGCAGAAGTGGAAGGCTCGGCGGTGAAAGCCTGGAAGCACGCGGAGTGGAAAGAGCAGATCCTCGTCCCGGCGTTGCCACAATCCATTCTGCAAGGCTGCAGTCTTATCCATATCGATTACTACATCCAGGTGAAATCACATTCCCGTTCTAGCATCTATTGTTGTCGGGGATTTACAGCTGGTTGATCAGAGGATAAATAGAAAAGGGGTCGTTGATGCTCTCTGACCTCGGTGGTTTTCTTGCAGACGTTTCGTTACCCAACTAGGGAACATCATCAGTGTTAGAAGGGAGTGAGGTTTGTGAAGTAGAGGAGAAAAAGACAGACTGTGGGATCCTTGGTGCTCTCAGAGCTACCCAACTAGGGAACATCATCAGTGCTAGACGGGAGAGGAGGAGGAGGAGGAGGAGGAGGAGGAGGAGGAGGAGGAGGAGGAGGAGGAGGAGGAGGAGGAGGAGGAGGAGGTGGAGGAGGAGGAGATAACAGTGGGTGTGGGGTTTGCATGGAGGAGGAGGAGGAGGAGGAGGAAGAAGAAGAAGAAGAAGAAGAAGAAGAAGAAGAAGAAGAAGAAGAAGAAGAAGAAGAAGAAGAAGAAGAAGAATAGATAAGGGGTTCTCGGTGCTCTCTGACCTTTTTTGTTTTCTTCCAGACATTTCATTACCCAACTAGGGAACATGATCAGTGCTAGAAGGGAGGAGGAGGAGAATGAGGAGGAGGGAGAGGAGGAAGAGGAGGAGGAATAGATAAGGGGTCCTCGGTGCTCTCTGAACTTGGTTGTTTTCTTGTAGACGTTAAATAGCAATAGCACTTAGACTTATATACCGCTTTACAGTGCTTTTACAGCCCTCTCTAAGCAGTTTACAGAGTCAGCCTCTTGCCCCCAACAATCTGGGTCCTTGTTTAACCCACCTCGGAAGGACGGAAGGACGAGTCAACCTTGAGCCGGACAGGATCGAACTCCAGACTGTGGGAAGAATCAGTCTGCAATACTGCATTCTAACCACTGCGTCACCACGGCTCCTAATGCAACATCCGATCAGTTATAGCAATAGCACTTATATACTGCTTTGCAGCCCTCTCTAAGCGGTTTACAGAGTCAGCCTCTTGCCCCCCAGCAATCTGGGTGGGTCCTCGTTTGACCGACCCCTGAAGGATGGAAGGCTGAGTCAACCTTGAGCCGGTCAGGATCATACTGATGGCAGTGGGCAGAATTAACCTGCAATACTGCATTCTAACCATTGTGCCAGCATGGAAAGAAGGAAGGGAGGAAGGAAGGAGGGAGGGAGGGAGGGAGGGAGGGAAGGAAGGAAGGAAGGAAGGAAGGAAGGAAGGAAGGAAGGAAGGAAGGAAGGAAGGAAGGAAGGAAGGAAGGAAGGGCACTTAGACTTATATACCTCTTTACAGTGCTTTAGTTTAGTTTAGTTTACTTTATTCTCATTGCACCTCGAACAAAGAAATTAAATGCCATCTTTACAGCCCTCTCTAAGCGGTTTATAGAGTCAGCCTCTTGCCCCCCAACAATCTGGGTCCTCATTTTACCCACTTCGGAAGGATGGAAGACCGAGTCAACCTTAAGCCAGACAGGATCGAACTGTTGGCAGTGGGCAGAATTAGCCTGCAATACTGCATTCTGACCACTGCGCCACCACACCTCTTGAAGGCCCAAATGTAAACGATGGCTTCCCAGGTCTGACATATGAACTGTTTTAAGTGGATGAGTACCGGTACTAATGAGAATGTCCCCCTTCTTATTTTTGATCTTTCTCAGGTCTCCCTCAAGTCCCCCGAAGTCTCCGTCGCGTTACCCATTTACATCGGCAACATTCCTGTCAACCGGATCCCCCTAAGCCCTTCCCACCTGCTCCCCAACATTCCCTCCCCTGTGGTTCCCAGCGCACCTCCCGAAGAAGAGGAAGCAGCCGGGGGTTATTCCCACCCCATGGACAATATTTCAATCCCGACCAAGAGCCATTCTCAACAGCAGCCCTTCAGCTACGCCCCGGGATTGAGTTTCCCGGAAGCCAGAGCGGATTCTGAACAGATCACCTCCCCCAACCGTCCCACGCTGTGCTTGTCCACGGGGTCGACGATTCCTTATTACGCCGAAGGCGCTGTCGTCCCGGTGGCCACGGCCAGTTCTTTGATCCTACCGCCCGAGTATAGCACCTGGGGTTATCCATACGGTAAGCCACGGCTAGGGTTGGAATTAAATGATCCAGGATCAGGCTGGATCGGGCTCCAAAAACGTAAGAAAGACCATGTTGAGGTTCTTCTAAGCCTAAGCCTCTCCTCCTTCTAAGGAGTGAGGACAATTAATCAATGGAACAACTTGCCTCTGGAAGTTGTGGATGCTCCAATACTGGAGGTTTTTAAGAAGATGTTGGATAACCATTTGTCTGAAGTGGTTTAGGGTTTCCTGCCTAAGCAGGGGGTTGGACTAGAAGACCTCCAAGGTCCCTTCCAACTCTGTTACTCTATTCTATAGGTCTTCCCTCTCTCCTTTGAGACAAACGCTCACTTATTGGAAGACTGCTATCATGTCAACCCTAGTCCTTCTCTTCTTTAGACTAAGACGTACCCAATTCATGCCCAAATGATTCCTCAAAGGATGGTTTACAATGTCTCTTCTTCTTCCTTTCTCGCCAGAGGCCCCTCCTTCGTACGAACAGAGTTGTAGCAGTGCGGCCTCCAGCTTGAGCAACGACAACTAGGATCTGAAGACGACCGCCGTGAATCGGGAGGGAAGGAAGGAACGGTACACAGCGTCGCTCGGAAGAGGTTAGCCTCACCTGGCCACGGGCTGCTGTTGGCTGCCGCTCACCAATGCGAAGGATGCCTTTTTGACATCCCACCTGTGACCTGTGCAATCCTGCCACCTCTTTTTGCTGCTTTTTACTCTCCAAAACACCTGTGATGCCTTATCGGGGGAATGGTACCAGAATCCAAGAAGGTTGGATGGACTTTTCAAGCATTTGAGGATGTATCGTTTTTCTGGTTTTGGAGTGCTGCTCTTTGAATTCCCACCCTGGGATTGACTCTCTGGACAGTTCCATTTGGTTCTCCTGCCTTGACGTTCTAGAGAGCAAGGGAAATATTGCCGGAGAGCTCGTTTCGACATTCCCGTGATCCACGGACATCCTTTTTTCCCCACAACGGTGTCAACAGGTTATCGGCCGGAGTTCTTGCAGCCTTTCGAACTTGGTGCCTGTATATTGGAGCTTTATCAAGGTTGGAGATCTGTCACCACAGGAGAAAGATGGAAGCCTTTTTCGTAGTGCCGAGCCAACCTTGGATAGTAGAAAGGATCTTTCTTGATGTTAGCTTGGCCTCCAATGACCAATGAAGTCCTATCGTGTTCAATCCTGGTTGGCCAGGATTCGTTCCAGATAACATCTTCGACCATTGTGTCTCTGAGCATGAGTAGATCCTTAACTTCTTCTCCTGAATCCTCCTCAACATTGACTTTCCATCCGGTTGGTAGCATCTGACAATCATGGCTTGTGTCCCAACTTCTACCTCATGGGCCTTCCTGTTTCCCACGAAACAAGATGGAACCACGAGAAGGGGTAGAGAGAGAGAGAGATGCAGCTAAAATTTTAAGTACCTATCTAATTTCGAAAAAAAAACATACACACGAAAACAAAGATCTTATATCTCAAGGAGCTTTTGACCACATAGGACTTGGTCCTAATTGTCCTGTTGTTTGCACCATCAGTTTCTCTGGCTGGTGATCCCTGGCCCAATCGTGGCTGGTTAGTTATTTTTAATCATTGTCATTATTTTTTAAAATTTTTTCTTCAAAATGGAAGCTTCCCAAACCTCACTGCCTCGATCGTCTCTCAACCATCAAGGTAGCTTCAGGTGCTTAATTGAGAAGCAGAGGGCAGGTTTCTTATCAATGCATTTCCGGAGACCTAAAACCTCCCCCATTCATCCAATCTAATTTTCTTCTCCTTTCCTGTCGACTGTGAAATTACTCAATGGTTACTATCTCCCACCCTTTTCACAGAATCTCAGTTGCGTGGACACAACCCACGCGGACGCCTAAAATCAACTTTTTTTTAAAAAAATAAGGCGATTGAAACCTCTCTTCCCCCTCTCTCTGTCTGTCTCTCTCTCTCTCTCGGTTTTCAATCGACCTGTTTTGATTGTGAAATTTTAATGAAAAAAACAATTTTAATGTATTTAATAAATTATTCTGAGAAAAACTGCCAGAAGGGTTTTGGTCGGTGCTCCTTGTCTTCCTCTTTTGATACAGCTTTCCCGTAGGCCTTGTGGTTTGGCAGGTTGTGTTAAGATTCTCCTTAAATCAGTTGTATTTTGAGAATCTAAAACCTTGCCAAGTTTTACTTAAAGGCACAGTTTCCTTTTTTTTTTTAATTTGATTTATATGCCGCCCTTCTCCGAAGACTCAGGGCGGCTTACAATGTGCTCAGCAATAGCCTTCATCCTTTTGTATATTTATACAAAGTCAGCTTATTGCCCCCACAAACTGGGTCCTCATTTCACCTACCTTAGAAAGGATGGAAGGCTGAGTCAACCTTGAGCTTTGGCGAGATTCGAACCCTGCAGTAATTGCAGGCATCTGGTCTTAATAACCAGCTTAATACTTAATAACAACTTAATAACAGGGTGCCTTAAACCCCTGTACTACCAAGGCTCTTTTTCTTGTAAACCCACCAGCTTGAGAGACTTCGTGGGAAGAAGAGAAAAATATGAATTTCCTTCTACATGCCTGAAGGGGCAGAATCTTGGTAATAATACTTAGATAGATAATCCCTGATTTACAACCGTAACCATCACTAACTTCGTTAGTACCAAAAAAAGCCAACACAGTTCTAGGCTCCATAAACGGATAGAATCAAGATCACGTGAAGTGTTAATATCACTTTATAATGCCTTGGTAATTAAACCAGAGCCTTGGTAGTACAGGGGTTTAAGGCACCCTGTTATTAAACTGGTTATTAAGACCAGCTGCCTGCAATTACTGCAGGGTTCGAATCTCGCCAAGGCTCAAGGTTGACTCAGCCTTCCATCCTTTCTAAGGTAGGTGAAATGAGGACCCAGTTTGTGGGGGCAATAAGCTGACTTTGTATAAATATACAAAAGGATGAAGGCTATTGCTTAACGCATTGTAAGCCGCCCTGAGTCTCCGGAGAAGGGCGGCATATAAATAAAATTTAAAAAAAAACAAAAAAAATGCCATTTTCGGTGTACATTGTACATAAGAAAACTATAAACATAAAACACAAACACACCTCCTTCACATTCTGTACAAATCGAATTAAAAACCCCTGATATTGCACTATACAGTAGAATTTAATATAGTTACTGTCCTGGGATAGAAGCTGTTTTTCAGCCTATTTGTCCTTGTTTTTATTGTCCTGTACCGGCTGCCAGATGGTAATAGTTTAAAAAAAAAAAAAAAAAAAAAGGAGGGTGCCCAGGATGAGATGGATCTTTAAGAATGTTTTGAACTTCCTTAAGGCAGCGGGAGCTACAAAGCTCTTCCAAGGAGGGGAGAGGTCAACCAATGATCCTCTGGGCAATGACGTTGACCCTCTGGAGCGCTATCCTATCTGCCACTGTGCAATTGGCAAACCATACACAGCAGGGGTGAAAAATCACTTACCTTCACTACCGGTTCACAAATGTGAGCGCGCGCACCTCCTCCACACATGCACAGAGCCTTCTGCGCATGCTCAGAGGGTCAAAAACAGGATGTGATGACGTCCGGGTGAGTAGGCGGAGCCTCCTGCCGCTGGTGCTACCAGTTCGCCCGAGTTAGATAGAATTGGCCTGAATTTTACCCCTGATACACAGATGCAGTAAATTAAAATAATAGAACGACGGATGGGATTTACTTAACAACGGTGGCTGGAATGATGATGGAAATAGGGCAAAAACACAGTTTCAAGTGGCTTGTTTGGCCACGGGATATGTTGAGCTCAATGGTGGTCATAAGTCAAGAGCTACCTGTAAGTAATAAGGGATAGAGTTGTCTGTTGCACAAAACCCACCGATGAGATGCGATTTCGGTTCACTAGGAAGCCACAAGGGGTCTCGGATGGTTTTAAGATGCTCTGGGAAGGGACCAGGTTGAAACATTTTCAAGGCCCTTAAGGGTGAGAATTCAGAAATGAAACATCTCCAAGAAGCCAGATTTACCCCACCAAGAGGTTCAAGGAAAGCCTCCGGAGCCCGGGGAGGGCAAAAACACCCCATCCACCATGGTACAGGAGGACAACTAGGCCACTTCCACCATGGCAACACCCACCCAGCAACCAGGCAGAGAACCCCTTGCTAAAATTTTTGAAGCCCACTTCTGGTTTGGGGGGACCCCTGTTGCAGAGAGATCTGCAAAATCGGACAATTACAGTTATTCCTTTCTTCTGCCGTCTGAGAGAAACCCGCAAATTTCAAAGGATTCCAGATTTATGAAGCAGGTCCAGATAACGTACACCGAGACGGAGATGGATGGAGTCTGTTTGTTCTGCAGATACTTTTCATTACAAGGCTGAACTCACTCTTCACGCATCTTCAGATATAATGTACTTTGATTTTGACTTAGTATGTTTTGTGAAGCCAGCAAATACGGCTGGTCGAGCAGAGTTTATAGATTTGCGAGACACGTGAAACAAAGTCAGCTGGGACGGATGAGACCTGAATCCAGAAGGCTTAAGTGGGCCCCAGATTGCTCAACTATAGAAGTAACTCAAGTTCAGCGGTTCGAATCCCTAGTGCCGCGTAACGGGGTGACCTCCCGTGACTTCTCCCAGCTTCTCCCAACCTAGCAGTTCGAAAGCACGTAAGAAAAATGCAAGTAGAAAAATAGGGACCACCTTTGGTGGGAAGGTAACAGCGTTCCGTGCGCCTTTGGCGTTGAGTCATGCCGGCCACATGACCACGGAGACGTCTTCGGACAGCGCTGGCTCTTCGGCTTTGAAACGGAGATGAGCACCGCCCCCTAGGGTCAGGAACGACTAGCACATATGTGTGAGGGGAACCTTTCCCTTTACTAATTGCATATTACATCCTCTTGAGTTTTTCTTCAAAGCTTGTGACCCATTCCTGCATCCAGACCAGGAATTCAACATGTTCAAAAATAATCATGGACAAATCCCATGTAAGCCTCACCGGCTTCCCCAGTCTAACCTCATTCAAAATTCATATAATGCATTAGTAGTTAATAAATAAATATTCATTTAAGCTTCCGTCTGTGAACTCATTGCAGGAAACATCTTGTTTCCCAGGATGGCCTTGCCTTGCTCCTCACGGGTTTTGGGGGTGGGAGGGAAAGGGGGAGGACCTTTCTAATTTGCAAAAAGGCCACTTCGGTCTTTCTTGATGGCTGCCAGAAGCTACAAAGAGCGGACTTTTATTTTGGAGGACTTTGGGAGATGGAAACCTTCTGCAGAGACCCGTTGGGTGGCAGTAGCGTTTCACTCCTCCCGTTCTTCTTATTTTTTTTCCCCCTCCTCTGCAAAAGGATTGGGCTTAATGGCCTACTTTGGCGGAACAAAGCTATGGTTTGCAGTCTTGAGTCTTTATTTTTTTTTTTTTTCTGGTGCACTCAAGAGTTGCCAAGGCTGTTACTTAACCATCTTGCTTTTTTTGCTGGAGCAAGATCATCAGCCTCCTGCATCTGCGTTGAGGCTTTTCAAGACTACCTTGGGCTGAGAGCCCCAAGACAATTAAGAGCTGGTCTTTTGACTTTTAACCTCCAAGGTGGAAATATATCTCTTTATATCTTGACCAAGAACTGTTTTTGAGAAGTTTTAAGAGGATTCGCCCGGTTTGGACAAATCTGTGGGTTCAATTGCTTTGGAGGGAGATCTGAAATTATATCGGATACCGAATCTGGAATAGGGTTTGATCCAAAGCAAGTCCTCCTCAGATAGAGTCATCTAAGCTCTTTCAATCCACCAGAGAGATGTAAAGTGAGAAAAATGGGGGCGCGTAGTTTGGATTTAAGGGATGTGGTGGCTCAGTGGCTAAGACACTGAGCTTGTCGATCGAAAGGTCCGCAGTACAGCAGTTCGAATCCCTAGTGCCGTGAAACAGGGTGAGTTCCCGTGACTTGTCCCAGCTTTTACCAACCTAGCAGTTCGAAAGCACGTAAAAAATGCAAGTAGAAAAAATAGGGACCACCTTTGGTGGGAAGGGAACAGCGTTCCGTGCGCTTTTGGCGTTGAGTCATGCCGGCCACATGACCACAGAGACGTCTTCGGACAGCGCTGGCTCTTCGGCTTTGAAACGGAGATGAGCACTGCCCCCTAGAGTCGGGGACGACTGGCACATACGTGCGAGGGGAACCTTTACCTTTTTAGCTTGGATTTGGGAAGGATCGGATCGAACCTCCGCCAACCTGCTTGATCTGAGGTCTGGAATGTTTAACAAGCAACACATGAGTCCCAACTTAAAACGGGCTGTGCCTTGTGATTTCAGCTTATGGGTCCGCAAATCAGCCTTGCGTAGGTTGTCGAAGCTTGCCGTCTTCACGAAGAGACTTTTGACCTCTGTTGGAATACCGTAGCTGTCAAAAACAGCATGATAGAAACAGTAGACCCTTGAATAGTTGCAGGACAATCATTTTAATCAATGGTTCTCCATCCATCCATTCAAGGTCTTTTTTTCCTTTCCTTTTTTTAACCACCTATGGAAACTAGATTTTGATCCCACAGCAGCAAGGCGATTCTAAAATTCCCAAAGCAGAATATTTGGAGTTTTAAATGTAGATTTAACCAAAGAGTTAAATGTGTTTACAGCCTTACTTGCTTCTCTCAACAGGTGCTCTTAACAGAACAGAGTTGGAAGGGGCCTTATAGGTCATGTAGTCCAACCCCCTCCCCTGCCCAAGCAGGAGACATTACACCATTTCTGACAGATGGCAGTCCAGTCTCTTCTTGAATGCTTCTAGTGATGAAGCTCCCACAACTTCTGTTCCATTGGTGGTTTGCTCTCTTCTTCTTCTTCTTCTTCTCCTCCTTCTTTCCTCCTCCTCCTCCATGCAAACCCCACACCCACTGTTATTTCTTCTTCTTCTCCTTTTCTTCTTCTTCCTTTTCTTTTCTCCTCCTCCATGCAAACCCCTCACCCAGTTATTATTTCTTCTTCTTCTTCTTCTTCTTCTTCTTCTTCTTCTTCTTCTTCTTCCTTCTCCTTCTCCTTCTCCTTCCTCCTCCTCCTCCTCCTCCTCCTCTCCCCCACAATCCTC